CTGCGGGAGAGCGCGCACGCTGCACGGTTGCATTCGTTGCCGGCGCCAACGCCGACTGTTGAAATAGGTGAGGGGGGAAGGGCGAGGAGTTCACCAACAGGGCAGGTGAGATAGTGCGCGATAGAGTTAGGTTGCTGGCTGCAACCAAAAATACAGGATACAACTCCACTGGCACGCATGCGGCGCGATGTTGCCCACGCTCCTGCAAGGGTCTTGAGTAGGCCCCACTGCCACGCGGGCTTGAACGTGCGGAGCACCGCAAGGCATTCCCCCCACCGCTCACCCACCGCCCCACGAATCGAGGCAGAAAAGCCCCACGCAGACAAACGTTTAGCGACAGCACTCGAAACTGAGTGGAAAGAGAGAGGCGCGCAACGAGGATGAAAAGGGCACGTTGGACCTTCCCCTTGCGGCCTTCACCCGCTGCGCTGGCCTGTTCGCCACGGGCTGCGCCCAGCGCCGAACGCCATGCAGCCACAGGGATCGATGACAGGGCGGCTGCTCAGCGAGCCCAGCAAATCGCTGCAAGAAACCATGCTCTATTTTCCAGCATGGCGCACTCCATTGTCCACGCGCCCAGCGCACCAGTGGAACTCGCGGGATCGCCGCCCCAGATCTTTCGTGCAGCAGCGATTCCCAGCCTCGCAAGGTGCGCAAGCCACATCTCCACAAGCTCGCCGCATTCGTGATCTGCGCGGAAGCGGGAGCCACTAATCCGCGTGCTTTGAAAGAAGACAAATCAGTCAGTCGGAATGCGCTGGGCGGCAGACGGAGGGCTCTGCGCAGAGCGAATTTTTCTTTGTGCAAGACAACGGCTGGCAACGGATAAAGCTGCGCTTTATAACTGAGTGTCGAGAGGGCAGTGCTGTTGCACAGAAGCAAGCTGGCACTCGAGGGCGCGGTCGCTCGTGGCATGTCGCAAGTCCGACTCCACCATTCACGAATGTCCCCCGCCCAAACTCCGCTCTCTGTGGCCGCGGGTCCGACTTGCACCCCCAGATGCTTCGCCTGGCCAGCAATCTTGAAACCGCCCCAATTCGATAATTTTTGATTCTAAAAATGACCGAATGCGATGGTCGACCTCTGGCGTGACCTCCGCCCAGAGAGGAGCAACTACTGTCTTGATGGCTGGAGCCTCAATGTTGCTAGCTCCCCGGCGCTTTGAAGGCAGGAAAGACACGTGTTAAATCTGACAGGCAGGGCTGCACATGCCCCGCATCATAAGCACATCCCCCAGACACCCCCCGTGGGGACGACGACGACACCCCCGCCACCAGACGGGTTAGAATCGGGCCCATAGCGATGGCCCACGCCGAGCCTGAAAGCGGGCAGCCTTGCATTACACCCGAACGCAAATGGAACATAAACTGCATTTCGCCCCGAAGCATAGCATAGCTGCGGGGCTCAAAATTCAGCGAGGCAAGCAAATTCAAATATCCAGGCGGCACGCCAAATCGAGAGAGTACCTCCCATAGCCAGTCGTGGCCAAGGGATGGAAGTGCAGCGGCTATATCGAACGCAACAAAGACAGGCGCCTGTGCCTTGGCTGTCTCGCCGATGCTAGCCGAGCGGGCGGCTGTATCTAGCTGGAGCAAATTGTGAAGAAAATTCCTGCCAGGCACAAATCCTTGCTGGACTTGGTGCGCACGCGCCTGGACCAATCCGTTGAGTTGCTGGTTGGCCGCAGAAGCTAGGATCTTAGAAGTCGTGTTGCGCAGCGAGAGAGGGCGAATCTGATCTGGGCTACGCAGGCACTCATAGGCATCGTTGGGCTCACTTCCTTTGGACAAGAACGCGAAGATGGAGTCATTCAGGGCCTCTGGTGTGTGGTGGCCCGCCATGAGGTGCTGCAAGAGGCCATGCAGGACTTCGATCTGGCCCCCCGAGACCATCCAAGCCTTGTAGGGGAGCCTATCGGAACCAGGAGCACTGTGACGTACATGTTTGACCGGGGTTTTAAGGTCCGTGACGCTGGGCATTGCTAGGTCGGCCATCTCGTAGGCCGGGTAATGTAGTTCCAGGTGTTGTCTGATATCCAGCCGACTGGCTGGTTGTGCCCGAAAGACCGCAGACCAGTTACGCCGAAGGGCCTCCAGGACATTGTTGGGATCTCTGGTAACTGCCGATTGGGAGGACTCGAAGGCACGTTCAGGTCGGATCCCTGCTAGAACGAGACGACGGCTTCGGGGTCTCCATAGCATGGCACGGCGGCGAATAGCCTTGATAGATTTGAAGTGGCGTGCTGCCACCTGCTGTTGTCCTCGTCGAAGGGCACGTTGAGCTGCTTGTACTGCGAATTCGTGGTTGGCTTGGAGCCCAGCAGAATGGAGGGAACGAAACTGACGGCGAAAAGCGTCTGGCTCCCTAAGCTGAATTGTCCATTATTAAATTGAAGATACCTGGCACCCTCGTCTGAGCTAGCGATGATGAGCGCCGCGAGCTTCGCATCTTGTCTCCATACGGCACGTGATATGCTACGTAGTGTGATGTTGCGTCCCCCTCTGGCACGCTTGTCGCCTGCTCGAAAGGGAAGCCGTTGCAATTCATCTCGTGCTTGTTTAGCCGTTTCAATCATCATGTCCTTCAAACATCCAGGTCCGCTGCGTCCATTAGCTTGTCCAGTAAAACCTTATACCTTACGTCGCTGAACACCACATCTGGGATGCGATGTCCGCGGCGTCTCCTGGGGCCTTGAACGTGAGGTTGAGCAGCAGCATGGAATGGTCGCTGAGCCTCCCCTGGGACATCTCGAGCGGATCAGAGTCCACATTCAGGAGGACATCCGTGTCGAGGAGGAAGTGTTCAGGTATGGCAAGAAAGGCCCTGTCGATGGCGGAGGCGGTGTATTGTTGGCGAGAGAAGTGGGTTGGGATGTCGGCCTGCACCTCCTGCGTTAGATCACAGAGAGCGCGCCAGAAAATCTCATTGGGCTGGAATGTTCGCGCTGTCGGTAGTGGTGTTTGCAATGGAGTTGGCCCGTCGTAACTGAGAGGTTCTCCATCACGAATGTTGCCGGTGATGATGCTGATGATGATGGTTGATGGTAATGGGTGGGAGCAGACGACCCCATCTTGCTCTGCGTCGCTCAGGTGGCGGCTTCGCGATTGCTGGACAGGCCCACGAGCCAACGCCCACCACACCATGCTGGCTGCCTACTGGGCCCGCTGGCGACTGTGCCACCGCGCCGGCCGACCGGCCGGCCCGCCGGCAGCTGAGCGATCGGCCGTGTGTGCACGCCGATCCCGCGCCCGGGGTGGGCCCGGCGAGGTGGTCCGCCGACGCCCCCTCTGATGCGCCGACCCAGATCTCCGACGATATGACTTTTGTCCACCGGCGGGTTTTCCTTGATTGCAGCCCTCGGGGCCAGTTTCCGAGCCCCGGGGCCATCAAAAGTGGATCCGGGGCGACGAGCTACCCCCATGGAGGTGGTCGGCACCTCCGGGGACGCGAATCACAAAAATCATACCCGCGGATGCCAGGCTCACATCCTGACCCGTGGCCGACCAAGGCTCGAGGCTCGAGGATCGAGGTCCGAGGATCTATGACGAACGAGCAACACACACCCATACCCATAGGGGGGTCGTTGGGAGGAGGACTGGCTATGGGTATGGGTGCGGGTTGTCGGACCCTGGGGAACGCTCCCGTTCGAGCGGGGACCCCCATCCGACAACACGCACCCATAGCCCTCTGCGACCCCTCTATGGGTATGGTGTGCGTTGTTGGTTCGTCAATCTAGACATGGGGCGTTCATGGTCCTGTCTGGGCCTCCCGGTCGCAGCAGCGGGGTACCCCTCGGGAAGTGCTGCTCCAGCCGCACTCCAGGACGGGTCCAGGGATCGACGTCCGACTCCCGCACCCTGACTCGGCGGTGGACAAACCTCCTCCTCCTCCTCCTCCTCCTCCTCCTCCTCCTCCTCCTCCTCCTCCTCCTCCTCCTCCTCCCCTTAGTGAAAACGGCCTGGGACCGAAACCGACGGGCCTGGACCCGCAAAAATGACGGCCGCGACGCCCTCTCGCGAACCGAAAGCGGCCAATTCCTTAATCGACGTGTCAGGGCAGGAGGTCTATCAACCTCCGACTGACGTGCTCGCGTCGTGACAAAGTCACGGCGGAATGCTTCTGGCCGTTTTCGGCCTCCAGGGGCACCTGCCAGGCCCTGGGACCGAGACAGGACGGTCCGGGATGAAAACCTGGCCCCTGCGAAGATGGGGACGGAGGAGCGCGCCGCATGGCCGACACGTCGCCGATGCAACTGCGATGTCGGCGATGCATAAGCGATGTCGACGTCGAGAAAATATGGCTCCACCTCGGGCTGCATCGCTGGGGCACCCGCGGTGCGGCGTGATCCACCGACCCCACCCTACTCCGACCCCACTCGGGCGGCCTGGAGCAACGCACCCCGGGCCACGACGCACTGCTTAGGTAAGAAAAGCTGGGCCCAGCCCGGACCCAAGGAGTCCGCACGGACCATCGAGAGCTTCCAGTCCTGCTGGAATGGAACCGCGTGTTTCTGTGTTCTGCGACAGCGCGGCCGTTGCTGGCCCTGGCCGACCCCCCCCGGGACGTCACGATTCGTGCTGAGCGCGCGAAACGTGAAGTTACCCGCCCTCCGCTCCCCTCCCCCCCACCTCTGCTAACCTAACGCCCGATGTCGCCCGGGAAGGAAAGAACGCTTCCTTCCCAGACATGCACAACCAAAAAGTTAGGGGGGACCCCCAACCCATTGGGACCCAGACCCCAAACCCTTTGGGAGGGGACCAAAGTTAGGAGGGCCGAACACAGTAAGGATATGGGGGTCTTCTCTGCAGATGTATAGAACCAAACCGTCCAGATTTATGATTCCCGATGCAAAGACGGGGACCTCAGTGAGGCCACGTCTTCATCGTGTTCTTAGGGTTATTGGTTCTTTTGTTCTTGATGAAGACTGTTTTTCACGCTCGGACATGCACTTCAAAGGCATCTCCTGCGAGAATCAAGCTGTCCGTCTGTACAGCTGCTCATTATGTGACAGTCCCTGATCTCAAGTAAAAAACGTGTCTCAAGACAAAAGCAGGCCCTGGGCAGGAGAGGGGGAGACGAGAGGGGGAGAAAGCATCGAAGATAGGAACATTAACTACGAGAGATTGGCAACTAAATCATGGAATCCCTATCGCCACGCAACTTCTTGATGAAGACATGCGACGTCCTGCTGTTTTCAATACGGGGTCCCCAGAACTCCTGACCCTTTCCCCGCAACCGGCTTTCTGTCCCGAATCGTGTTCTGACGGTCCTGGGGCCCGACGAGGCTTCCCGAAAGCAGAAAATGACAATTACATCGGAGGTGAGAGGGTAAGATCGAAGTGGAACGGAGAGCCCCCCTACCAGGAAATCGGTTTCGGTTTCGTGTTCGTGCGTGCCGTGCGTGCGGGCGAGGCGAAGCTGCGTGGGCGGGCGAGAAATGTCCCGCCTCTGGCTGAGGCGCGGCCGGACCAAAAGTCCCCGTTCCGGCAACCGGTGCCCCGCGGTGTCCCGCTGGTGTCCCGTCGGTGTCCCGATGATGGTGTTGATGATGATAATGATGATGATGATGATGATGATGATGATGATGTTGATGATGATGATGATGGCCATGGTGGTGATGATGATGATGATGATGTCCCGATGATGATGATGATAATGATGATGATGATGATGATGATGATGTTGATGATGATGATGTTGCTGATGATGATGGAGCCCCGATGATGATGATGACGATGATGTTGATGATCCTGATGATGTTGATGATGATGAGATGATGAGATGATGATGATGATGATGATGATGATGATGATGATGATGATGATGATCCCGATGATGACGATGATGATGATGAGGTTGATGATGATGTTGTTGATGATGATGACGGTGACGATGATGATGACGATGGTGTCCCGATGATGATCATCATCATCATGTTGATCATGATGATGACGATGATGGTGTCCCGATGATGATGATGATGTTGATGAGGATGATGATGAGAAGATGATGATGATTTTGATGGTGGTGGCCGGACGGTGATGATGATGCTGATGTTGATGATGATGGTGTCCCGATGATGATGATGATGATGATGGTGATGATGATGATGATGATGGTGACGATGAAGATGGTGTCCCGATGATGGTGATATTGATGATGATGTTGCTGATGATGATGGTGTCCCGATGATGACGATGTTGATGATGTTGTTCATGATGCTGATGAGATGATGATGATGGTGTTCCGATGATGATGATGATGATGATGAGGTCCCTATGATGATGTTGGTAATGATGATGGTGACGATGATCGTGTCCCGATGATGGTGATGATGGTGATGATGATGGCCATGGTGGTGATGATGATGGTGTCCCGGTGATGTTGATGATGATGAGGTTGATGATGCTGATTTTGCTGATGACAATGCTGATGGTGTTCCGATGATGATGGCGATGTTGATGATCCTAGTGATGTTGATGATGATATGATGGGATGATGAGATGATGATGATGATGATGATAATGATGACGATGTTGTTGATGATGATGATGATGAGGTTGATGATGTTGCTGTTGATGATGATGGTGATGGTGATGGTGTCCCGATGATGATGATGACGATGATGTTCGATGATGATGATGATGATGATGATGTTGATGATGAGGATGATGATGAGGTGATGATGGTTTTGATGATGGTGGCCCGATGATGGTGATGATGCTGATGTTGGTGATGATGATGGTGTCCCGATGACAATGATGATGGTGGTGATGATGATGGTAACGATTATGATGGTGTCCCGATGATGGTGATGTTGATGATGATGTTGCTGATGATGATGGTGTCCCGATGATGATGATGATGTTAACGATGTTGTTCATGATGATGATGAAATGAAATGCGATGAAATGAAATGATGATGCTGATGATGATGATGATGCTGGTGTCCCGATGATGATGATGATGACGAGGATGGTGTCCCGATGATGATGGTGATGATGATAATGTTGATGATGATGGTGGTGAGGTGATGATGATGATGCTGGTGTCCCGATGATGATGATGGTGATGATGATGATGTTGATGACGTTGATGACGATGATGTCAATGATGATGATGATGATGATGATAGCGTTGATTGTGAGATCGATTGTGATTTCGATAGTGATATCGATAGTGAGACCGAATGTGAGATCGATAGTGTGATCGATAGAGAGATCGATTGTGAGATCGATAGTCATATCGATTGTGAGATCGATCGAATGAAATAGATCGAGTGACATCGATTGTGAGATCGATCAAGTGAGATCAATCGAGAGAGACCGATAGTGAGATCGATAGTAAGATCGATAGTGAGACCGACCGAGTGAGACGTTGGTTCCTCCGCCCCCCCGAACCTCCTTATCACCCGAAGGGTGGTCGTATAGGAATGTATGTGTATATATATATATATATATATACTAGAACCACGCGCGAGCGCTTCGCGCGCGCGTGGTTCTAGCAAGCTCTGGTTGTAGTCTACAGTGCTCGGCGTCGGAGGACACATAGTGTCACGCGGATCGTGCAGCTCAGGGAGATCCACCGACGGCCCCAGATAAAGGCTTGGCTGAAGAGTCCCCCCGCCAATGCTGGTACACCCCTCAAAGGGATCACGCCTACAGGGACCTCCACCTATGTCCCCAGAGACAAGGTTCGCATAGTGGCACGCCTCTCGCGCGGATCGTGCCCGGCACGTAACAGCATCTGCGGCACCAGAGGGGAGCTTCATAGCGTCGCCTGACATACTTCGACACACCTCTCGCACGGATCGTGGCCCGCAGGGACTTCCACGGACGGTCCCAGAGGCAAGGTTCGCATGCCGCCCCCCCGCCTACTTCGGCTCACCTCTCGCCCGGGTCGTGGCCCACAGAATCTCCACCCATGGCCCCAGAGGTAGGGTTCACGTTACGCCCCTCCACCCATTGCGGCACGCCCCACCACGCAGATCGTACACAGAAGGAACACCACCTAAAGGCCCAAAGATAAGGTTCGTACAGCGCCTCCCCCCCCATGCCGGCACACCCGTCACGCGAATCATGCCCCAGAAGAAGCTCCACCTATGGCACCAAGGGACAGCTTCGCATGGCATCCCCCCGCCCATTTCGGAACATGCCTCGCACGGGTCGACTCCAGAGGAGGTCGACCTGCGGCCTCAGTGAGCGTGTTCGCTCGGGGGCATCCGAATTACTCGGCGCACCTTCACGCGGACCGTGCCCCACGAAGAGTTTAGCGAACCCGTGCACGCGTGCTCCGCAGCGGCCCCATTTCAGCGATGCCCCGCGGCGTGCAGTGTATGAAGAGAGACCTGCGCCCCGCGCTACACATGACTGCATAGGGACCCGTCGCCAAGCCAATTGCTGGCTTATCTATAGCCTTCGTCCCATATCGCTACTGTGCCTGAGTTTTGGGCCAGGGGATTCTTGGACACCTGTCTGTTGGCATGCTTCTCGGGCACCTCATGGCGAGACTCTTGAAGCTTCTTGGGGCCTCTTGGTGGCCTCTTGGGGCCTCTTTTTGAACCCTTTGGGGGCCTCTTGAGGGTCTGCCACTTGGAGCGGAAGGCTCGAAATGTCAATTTGAGTTCCCCCTCTTGGATCCCTCTTGGGGCCATCTTGGGCCGTCTTGGGCGCCTCTTGGACCGTCTTGGGGCTCTCTTGGGCCGTCCTGGGGCCCTCTTGCCTCTTGGGCCGTCTTGGGGTGATCTTTGGGGCTTCTAAGCCGTTTGGACGCTATTGAGACCCAAAATGCGAATATGCTAAAATGCGTGTTTGCCGTAAGGATTCGACAACTTTTGTCTCCTGGGGCTCTCTCGGGACGCAGGAGCCTTCTTAAGACGTCTCCGGAACCTCTTGAACCGTCTTGAAACAATATTCGGGCGTCTTCGGCCCTGTCAGGCCGCTCTGGTCGTTTGGTGGTGGCCTCCGGAGCTGTTTCGAACGGAGGGAGGCGTCCCACCCCGCGCCCCTCCCGCGACCCACCCGCGACCCACCCCGCGACCCACCCGCGACCCAACCCACGCCCCACCCACGACCCACCCCGCGACCCACCCGCGACCCACCCGCGACCCACCCGCGACCCACCCCACGACCCACCCCGCGACCCACCCCGCGACCCACCCCGCGACCCACCCGCGACCACCCCGCGACCCACCCGCGACCCACCCGCGACCCACCCCGCGACCCACCCGCGACCACCCCGCGACCCACCCGCGACCCACCCGCGACCCACCCACGACCCACCCGCGACCCACCCCGCGACCCACCCGCGACCCACCCCCGCGACCCACCCCGCGACCCACCCGCGCGGCGACCCACGCGACCCACCCCGCGACCCACCCACCCTCAAGGGAGGAAAAACAACCCGGACCCGACAACTGACGTTTACTGAACGGCCCTGGGCGTTGACTAAACAGCCCTGCCCTGTTCGACTCGTTCCTCGCGTGCGTCTATATACTAACGGCTTCGCCCGCCCCCCAACAGCGACCCACCCGCGACCCACCTGCGACCCACCCACACTGGCTTAACGAAAAATTCGGCGCCCAGTGCGGGCTCGCTGCATAATCTGTGAAACTTTGGCGCCTGCGGCGGGCTTCTCCAGAGTCTCGCAAACTGCCGACGCCCCCACCGCCCCCGCACTCTTATCCGCATCTGCGGGGCGCTACGGTCATATACAACCACGCGCGCGCTTCGCGCACGCTTAGGGTTCTAGTCGGTCACAAGCAATCGGGCCAGCGGGTGCTGGCCGTTGTGGAGCCCTCTTGGGACTGCCTTGCAGCCTCTTGGGGCCACGTTAGGTCCCATTGGGCATTCCTATGCCGTCTTCGAGCCTTCGTGGGACATCTCTGGGAGTTCTTGCGCCGTCCTGGGGCCATCGGCAATTTTGCGGTTGCCACTGGGCCGGCTTGGGACCCTCTGTTGGCCCTCTTCGGGCGCTACTTGGGACATCTTGGGGGCTGTGTGCCCTTGGGGAACCTGTGATTGGTCTACGGGTGGAAGTCTTCGGGGATCGTTGAGTCCTGGGGTTTGGTCTTGAGAGTCTTGGGGCCGTCTGAAGCGCGCTTCTGGAGGGTATTGGGTACGCCGAAGAGCGCCAGCACCAGCGCTACGAACCTCGTGATCCCGAAGCTAGCCAAAAAAGGGCGCAGGGGGAAGACGGCGGAGGCAAGGGAGAACTGTTGAGGATGGCGGATGCAAGCAAAACATGTTTCGGCGCCGCGTGCGAGCGTCTGCTGCTGGAAATTGCCTGCAGTGCTTCTGACTGGAGGCTTTGCCCGTGCTCGAAGCAGCCACGAGCGAGCATCCAGTGCTGGAAAGTAACCGCAGTGATGCTGGCTGGAGGCTTTGCCCGTGCTCGAAGCAGCCCAACAAAAATCGGCGCCGCTTGCGAGCATCTAGTGCCGGAAGTTGACCGCAGTGATGCTCGCTGGAACGCTTGACAAGCACACGGCTCCAGTGACGTCGTGACCCAGAGACCGTTGCCAATTCTGCTGTTAAAAATACAAACAACGCGGATCGATTACGAAATGTTAGCAACAACGCTTCCGTATACTTCCGTGCAACACCCTGCAAACAAGGAATGTAGAAGCATTGCGACGCAACGCATGTTCCACTGAAACCAAATATATGTTCAATGCAACGCAGAAGTATTGTAAGTGAAAGTGGGTAAAGAATATGCTAGACAATTCCATGGATTCCATGTCAAAATCGAAACGCAACAATGTGGACCAAAGGACGATGAAACACGAAAGCGTCGTCGTCGGCGTCATCGGCGTCGTCGACGTGGCCGTCGTCGCCGCGGTCGTCGTCGTAGTGGGGGCGGCGCTCGTCGTCGGAGTCGACGCCGAAACAAACGTCCGTCGTCGATCCTGGAGGATGGAGGCCCACTCTCATCAGGAAGGCGTCGGGCACTGCAGAAATGCAAGCAGCAGCCTGCTGGGCCGCAGGCCCCGGACTCCGTTCTGATCGAATCCCCGGGCAACCCGACGCTGAATTGGGATGTTCGGTGGTCTTGCGCGGGCCCTCCTCCTCCTATTCGGTCTCCTCGTCGGACTGACGGGGAACATCATGTTCACTGAAAGCTCTTCGGGAACATGATGGTGCAGGCCGTGTCGGAGCTCTCGTGGAAGGTTCCAAGATTCCCCAAGTGAAAATGGAAAACCAGAAAAAACGGCTCAATAGAATCATTCGAAAAATATGGGTGGTGAGGAAGTGGAGCTCGTAACTGAAATATAGGAGGTACAAAGTGACAGAGCAATCACAGCTGGAACTGGGAAGGCCACGAGGAAGAGGGTGAGAAAAACCGCGGGGGCTTTCGACAGCGACCAAGATGGTGTTGGGCCCATCCCGCCGCCGTCTTGGGTGTGGGTCGAAAGCATGTGGGATGCTCGGTGGGAACGCGACGGAAGCCGCGCGGGGGCCTCTTAGAGGCCGTCTCTGGGCCTCCTCTCTTTGACCATCCTGGCCTGTCTAAGGCACCCCTGGGGCCGCCTTGGGGTCTGCGTGGGCCTCTGTTCGCCGTTTGCCTTTCCTCCTCCGCCTCCTCCTCCTCCTCCTCCTCCTCCCTTTCCTCCTCCTCCTCCTCCTCCTCCCTTTCCTCCTCCTCCTCCTCCTCCTCCTCTTCCTCCTCCTCCTCCTCCTCCTCCTTCTCCTCCTCCTCCTCGTCGGTTTCCTCGGACTGGAGGCGACAGTCATGTGCCCGGAAAGCTCTACGGGAACATGATGGGGTGGGCCATATTGGGGCCCTCGGTTCCAGGGTTATCCACATGAGGCTGCAAAGCCCGCCGGACGGGCCGGTGGAAACATTTGTAAATATTGAGATGGTGGTGAAACTTGGTAGTGACACGGGGAGACGCAAGGCTTCAAAACAAAAACGGCAGGATCTGGAAAGGCCACGGCAAGGCATGTGAGCCGGAGGGGCAACGGCCGGAAAGGCCACGGCAGATAGCGGAGGGGGGCTGCACCCTCGACACCGAATCCATTTGCAGCGGGGCGGCGGGCCCGACCTCGGCTCCGCTGAGAACGGGGCCCCCAACAACGCTACGCTGAATTGCGGTGTTCGGTGGAATGGCGCGGACCGTCATCATCCTCTTCGGTCACCTTGCCGGACTGGCGGTGACAATCATACTCCCGAAAGCTCTCCGAGAACATGGTGGGTTGGGCAGCATTGGGGTCCTCGTGGAAGTTGCCAGGCTACCTCAAATGAGGCTGCCAAGCCCGAAGGACAGCCAGAGTCCAGAAGGGGCCGAGGCTGGAAAGGCCACGGCAAAGAGCGGATGGGAGGGTTGTACCCTGGCCATCGAATCCGCTCGCAGCGGGGCGGCGGGCCCGACCTCGGTCCCGCTGAGAACGGGTCCCCGGTTAATCCGACTCTGAATTGCGATCCTCGGTGGTCTTGCGCGGACCCTCCTCATTCGAGTCGGTATCCTCGTCGGACTGTCGGCGAGCATTATGTTCCCGGAGGGCTCTCCGGGAACATGATGGTGTAGGCCGCGTCTGGGCCTCGTGGGAAGTTCCAAGGTTCCCCGAATGAAGGTGGAAAACCGGAAAGACGGCCCAACGGAATCATTCGAAAACCCTTGGATGGGGGGTGACGAAGTGGAGTTCAGAACTGACATGTAGGGGGCACGAAGTGACAGAGCAAGCGCGGCTGGAGCTGGGAAGGCCACGAGGAGGGTGAGAAAGACGGTGAGGGCTTGCGACAGCGACCAAAAAAGGCTTTGGGCTTATCCCGCCACTGTCCTGGAGTGTGGGCCGAAAGCCTGTAGGATGCTCGGTGGGAAGGCGACGGAGGCCGCGCAGCGGCCTCTTGGGGCCGTGTTGGGGCCTCTTATCCTGGGCCGTCATGAGCGCCCCTGGGGTCACCTTGGGGTCTGCGTGGGCCTCTGTTTGCCGTGTTCATTTCCTCCTCCTCCTCCTCCTCCTCCTCCTCCTCCTCCTCCTCCTCAGCATCATCATCATAACCATTAGCAACAGCATCATCATCATAATCATCATCATCATCATCATCATCATCATCATCATCATCATCATCATCATCATCATCATCAGCATCATCATTATCAGCAGCAGCATCATCATCATCATCAACATCATCTGCACGATCAGCATCATCATCATCATCATCAGCAGCATCATCAGCATCATCAGCATCATCATCATCATCAGCATCATCATCATCGTCATCATCGTCATCGTCATCGTCATCATCGACATCCTCATCACCATCATCATGATCATCCTCATCAGCATCATCACCATCGTCACATTCATCGTCATCAGAATCATCATAATCGTCAGCAGCATCATCATCACCATCAGCATTAGCATCAGCATCAGCATCGTCAGCATCATCGTCAGCATCATCATCATCATCATCATCAGCATCAGCATCATCATCATCATCATCATCATCATCATCATCATCATCATCATCATCGTCGTCATCATCATCATTATAATCATGTTCATCCCTCCTTCTCATCATCCGCCTCCTCCTCCTGCTCCTCCTCCTCCGCCTCCTTCCCCTGCTCCTCCTCCTCCTCATCGACAGCATCATCATCTGCATCATCAGCATCATCATCAGCATAAGCATCAACATCAGCATCAGCATTGCCATCGTCATCATCATCAGCATCATCATCACTACCATCATCATCATCGTCATCATCGTCAGCATCATCAGCATCATAAGCATCATTATCATAATCAGCATCACAAACATTATCACCATCGTTACCATTATCAACATCATCACAATCAGCATCCTCATCCTCATCCCCATCATCATCGTCCGCATCCTCATCCGCATCCTCATCCTCATCATGATCCTCATCCTCGTCGTCGTCATCATCATCAGCATCATCAGCATCGTCATCATCAGCATCATCATCCCTCCTCTTTCCTCCTCCTCCCTCCTCCCTCCTCCCTCCTCCCTCCTCCTTCCTCCCTCTCCTTCCTCCCTCCTGCATCCTCCCGCCTCCCGCCACCCGCCTTCCGCCTCCCTCCTCCCGCATCCCGCCTCCCGCCTCCAGCCTCCCGCCTCCAGCCTCCCGCCTCCCTCCTCCCTCCTTCCTCCTCCCTCCTCCCTTCCCTCCCTTCCGACTCCCTTCCCGCCCTTCCCTCCTCCCTCCTCCCCGCTCCCGCTCCCCGCTCTCTGCTCCTTCCTCCCTCATCCCTCCTCCCTCCTCCCTCCCCCCTCCCCCCTGACCCCTCCTTCCTTCGCCCTCCCCCCTCCTCCCTCGTCCTTCCTCCCTCCTCCCTCCTGCCTCCTCCCTCCTCCCTCCTCCCTCCTCCCTCCACCCTCCTCCCTCATCCCTTCTCCCTCCTCCCTCCTCCCGCCTCCTTCCTCCCTCCTCCCTCCTACCTCCTTCCTCGTCCCTCCTCGGGGCTCTCTGGGGTCGTCTTGTAGCTCTCAGCCCATCTTGCAACCCTCTTTGGGGCCTCTGCGGCCGTCTGGGGCCCTGGTAACCTCTTGGGCCGTCGCGACCGCTGGTAGAACTGAAATAGCGAAGCTCCCAGACATATACGTTTTTCCATCGGAAATGCTTGATGTTTGCCTTTGGAGGCCTTCTCAGCGGTCTCTTGGACAGTCGTGGAGGGGTCCTTTGGGGCCTTTTGCGGCCCGTCTGGGATCCCATTTCGGCTGTCCCAAGCCCCTCTTGGCATGTCATGGGTAGCTGAACCGTCTTGGGGCCCTCATGGAGCCCTCTCCGATCATGTAGGGATCCTCCGGTGGCTCCCTCGGGCCCCCTGGGGACTCTCTCGGGCTGATTTTTCCCAACCCTCCTTGGTTGGGTATTCGTTTTGAATAGAGCAGTGTGGTCTCCACTTCCTCCTTTCCTCCCTCCTGCCTCCCGTCCCGCCTCCCTCTTGCCTCCTCCTGTCTTGCCTGCGGGGGGCTGCGATCTGTGAAACTGTCGCCACTTTCGAGGCCTGCTGGGGGGCCCAGCACAGTGACGCCACGGGCGGACCCAAATTAGACCTCGCCATCCCTGGGGGGCTGCGATCTGTGAAACTGTCGCCACTTTCGAGGCCTGCTGGGGGGCCCAGCACAGTGACGCCACGGCGGACCCAAATTAGACCTCGCCATCCCTGGGGGGCTGCGATCTGTGAAACTGTCGCCACTTTCGAGGCCTGCTGGGGGGCCCAGCACAGTGACGCCACGGGCGGACCCAAATTAGACCTCGCCATCCCTGGGGGGCTGCGATCTGTGAAACTGTCGCCACTTTCGAGGCCTGCTGGGGGGCCCAGCACAGTGACGCCACGGGCGGACCCAAATTAGACCTCGCCATCCCTGGGGGCTGCGATCTGTGAAACTGTCGCCACTTTCGAGGCCTGCTGGGGGGCCCAGCACAGTGACGCCACGCGCGGACCCAAATTAGACCTCGCCATCCCTGGGGGGCTGCGATCTGTGAAACTGTCGCCACTTTCGAGGCCTGCTGGGGGGCCCAGCACAGTGACGCCACGCGCGGACCCAAATTAGACCTCGCCATCCCTGGGGGGCTGCGATCTGTGAAACTGTCGCCACTTTCTGGCTGCTGGGGAGCCCAGCACAGTGACGCCACGGGCGGACCCAAATTACACCTCGCCATCCCTGGGGGGCTGCGATCTGTGAAACTGTCGCCACTTTCGAGGCCTGCTGGGGGGCCCAGCACAGTGACGCCACGGGCGGACCAAATTAGACCTCGCCATCCCTGGGGGGCTGCGATCTGTGAAACTGTCGCCACTTTCGAGGCCTGCTGGGGGGCCCAGCACAGTGACGCCACGGGCGGACCCAAATTAGACCTCGCCATCCCTGGGGGGCTGCGATCTGTGAAACTGTCGCCACTTTCGAGGCCTGCTGGGGGGCCCAGCACAGTGACGCCACGGGCGGATTCAAATTAGACCTCGCCATCCCTGGGGGGCTGCGATCTGTGAAACTGTCGCCACTTTCGAGGCCTGCTGGGGGGCCCAGCACAGTGACGCCACGCGCGGACCCAAATTAGACCTCGCCATCCCTGGGGGGCTGCGATCTGTGAAACTGTCGCCACTTTCGAGGCCTGCTGGGGGGCCCAGCACAGTGACGCCACGGCGGACCCAAATTAGACCTCGCCATCCCTGGGGGGCTGCGATCTGTGAAACTGTCGCCACTTTCGAGGCCTGCTGGGGGGCCCAGCACAGTGACGCCACGGGCGGACCAAATTAGACCTCGCCATCCCTGGGGGGCTGCGATCTGTGAAACTGTCGCCACTTTCGAGGCCTGCTGGGGGGCCCAGCACAGTGACGCCACGCGCGGAGCCAAATTAGACCTCGCCATCCCTGGGGGGCTGCGATCTGTGAAACTGTCGCCACGTTCGAGGCCTGCTGGGGGGGCCAGCACAGTGACGCCACGGGCGGACCTAAATGAGACCTCGCCATCCCTGGGGGGATCCGATCTGTGAAACTGTCGCCACTTTCGAAGCCTGCTGGGGGGCCCAGCACAGTGACGCCACGCGCGAACCCAAATTAGACCTCGCCATCCCTGGGGGGCTGCGATCTGAGGTCCCCGCTTTCGAAGTTGCTAGGGTTGTTCAGGGATTGTAACTAAACAGCTTTATCTAGTCCTTGTCCTGTAGCCAGTGTCCTGCGAGTCTCCCGAATTCCATCTACAGACATATGTAACCCTCGCTCCGTCATCGCCCCCCTTATAAAGTGTCCTAAACTATTTGCGCCCCGCGTTTGCGCAGGGGGTGGGTACGTCGCCAGGGTAATTGTTTTTTCCTGGTGCATGCAAACACCCAAGTGGCGGCGATTTGCCTGGGCACATCCGACGACCGAATGCGGACAGCAGCCCAGGCGTACTTGAGACCAGGTGAGGCCGTGGCCTCACAATATGGTCACAGCCGCGGTCAAACATCACATGCAATGTAGCATCCCAAGACAGCATGAGGGACTTGACGCCTCCATGCGATGTAGATACCGCAAGGACTAAGACTGAAGTGAAGGGCAAGCACCGACACTTAAATGCAAACCAGATCAGCAATTCCCTGGTGTGGCCTGGCGTGCATCCAGGGCTATTTGGAGTCAGGTTGCCAGCTCTGGCGAGCTGAATTCAAACGCCATGCCCGTGGGCGACAGCTGTAGCAGGCGCCTGGCTCTAGCCGCTGCCAACATCATGTTAAAATTGCGGGCTGTTTTGGAGCTCTCTTGTGCTGCTCGGCGGTCTCTTGAGGCTGTCTTGGAGCCCTCTTGGGGGCCTCGTGGACCGTGTGGCGCCGATTTGGGGAGCCTTTGGGGCCGACATGGCCGCTGATGGAACATAAGCAGCGAATATCATAGAAATGTACGTTTTCCATCGGAAACGCTCGTTGTTTGCACCTGGGAGGGTCTTCAGGGAATCCTGGTAGGCTTTTTTGGAACCTCTGGGAACCCAATTCGGCCGTTCCGGGTCCCTCTTCGCCCGCTATGGGGAACTGAGCCCGTCTTGGGGCCCTCGGGGGGCCCTCTCCGACCAGTAAGGATCCTCCGGTGGCTCCCTCCGGCCCCCTGGGTACTCTCTTGGGCTGTGTTGGAGCTCTCTTGTGCTGCTTGAAGCTCTCTTCAGGCCGTCTGGGGGCCCTCTTGGGAGCGTCTTGGGCCGTATGTGGCTCATTTGGGGAGCTTTGGGGGCCGTCGCGGCCGCTGGTAGGACTCAAAAGCAAATATCCAGGATGTTTGTTCCATCGGAAATGCTTGATTTTTGCCCTTGGAGGGCCTTCTCAGCGGCCTCTTGGACAGGCGTGGAGGGGTCCTTTGGGGCCTTTTGCGGCCCGTCTGGGATCCCATTTCGGCTGTCCCAAGCCCCTCTTGGCATGTCATGGGTAGCTGAGCCGCGGCCAAACATCACATGCAATGTAGCATCCCAAGACAGCATGAGGGACTTGACGCCTCCATGCGATGTAGATACCGCAAGGACTAAGACTGAAGTGAAGGACAAGCACTGACATTTATATACAAACCAGATCAGCAATTCCCTGGTGTGGTCTGGCGTGCATCAAGGGCTATTTGGCGTCAGGTTGCCAGCTCTGGCGAGCTGAATTCAAACGCCATGCCCGTGGGCGACAGCTGTAGCAGGCGCCTGGCTCTAGCCGCTGCCAACATTATGTTAAAATTGCGGGCTGTTTTGGAGCTCTCTTGTGCTGCTCGGCGGTCTCTTGAGGCTGTCTTGGAGCCCTCTTGGGGGCCTCGTGGACCGTGTGGCGCCGATTTGGGGAGCCTTTGGGGCCGACATGGCCGCTGATGGAACATAAGCAGCGAATATCATAGAAATGTACGTTTTCCATCGGAAACGCTCGTTGTTTGCACCTGGGAGCCCTCTCAGTCTTCAGGGAGTCCTGGTAGGCCTTCTTGGAACCTCTGGGAACCCAATTCGGCCGTTCCAGGTCCCTCTTCGCCCGCTATGGGGACCCGAGCCCGTCTTGGGGCCCTCGGGGGCCCTCTCCGACCAGTAGGGATCCTCCAGTGGCTCCCTCAGGCCCCCTGGGTACTCTCTTGGGCTGTGTTGGAGCTCTCTTGTGCTGCTTGAAGCTCTCTTCAGGCCGTCTGGGGGCCCTCTTGGGCCGTATGTTGCTCATTTGGGGAGCTTTGGGAGCCGTCGCGGCCGCTGGTAGGACTCAAAAACAAATATCCTGGATGTTTGTTCCATCGGAAATGCTTGATTTTTGCCCTTGGAGGGCCTTCTCGGCGGCCTCTTGGACCGTCTTGAATGCCTTTGTGGCCGTCTAGGAGCAGTCTTGGACTGTCTTCGAGCGCTCGTGGCCCGTCCAGACCATCTCAGTGCGCTCTTCAGCCACCTTCCAAACGACCTGGGGCGTTTTTGGGCGCCTCTTGGGCCAGCTTGGAAGCCTGTGGGGGGGTCCGGGCCCCCTTCTGAACCCACTTGGAGCCCACAAGCCCCCCCTGGCCCCCCATGCGAACCAGAGGTCGCAGTTCTGGGCCCTCCACAGGCCTACTCCGATAGGGAACATGATTTCGAACGAGGCCCTCTTGGGCCTCCCTGAGGCCGTTTTTGGGGGCCTCCTGGGCCGGCTTCGGGGCCTCTTGGGCCGTCTTGGGGGGGTTCCGTGAGCCCGGCAGGGCGACCCTTTTGGGCCGTCTTGGGCGCTTTTGGGTCTCTCTTGGGCTGTCTTGGGGCTCCTCGGGGGCGTCTGGGGCACTGAAGGCGAAGCAACCGAGTATGCTGAAAATGGCGGCTTTCGGAAGGAATGTGCCGAATTTTGCATCGTGAAGGCCCTCTAGAAGCCCTCTCCGGCCATCTTCAAGCCATCTCGGGCCCTTTTGGGCCTCGCTGAGGCTGTCTTGTGGGCCTCTTGGGCGTCCTGGGAACCCGGAAACCATGTTCCTGAAATGCTTCCGGGAACACGATTTCGAACGAGGCCCTCTTGGGCCTCCCTGAGGCCGTTTTGGGGGCCTCCTGGGCCGGCTTCGGGGCCTCTTGGGCCGTCTTGGGGGGTTCCGTGATTCCCACAGGACGACCCTTTTGGGCCGTCTTGGGCCCTCTTGGGTCTCTCTTGGGCTGGCATGGGGTTCCTCGGGGGCGTCTGGGGCACTGTGAAGACGAAGCAACCGAGTATGCTGAAAATGTACGTTCTACGAAGGGAATGGGCTGATGTTTGCCTCTGGAAGGCCCTCTAGGGGCCCTCTTCGGCCAACTTCAAGCCATCTTGGGTCCTCTTGGGGCGCTGTTGGGCGTCTTGGGACCCTCTTGGGCCTCGCTGGGGTTGTCTTGTCGGCCTCTTGGGTTGTCTTTGGGGCCTCCTTGGTCGTCTTGGGCGTGGACCCCACAGGACGCCCGGGGCGGCCATGCCAACCGGTGGCACCACCCCACCCCCGCCCCCAGGCCTTCTCATATACATACATATATATATATACACATACACACAAATATATATACACACACATACATATATGTATGTGTGTATGTATGTATTGCTCCACAACCCTTCGGCACAGTACACGGAAGGGCGGAAGGCTGGCAGGCAGTGCGAACGAAACGAGGGCGGAGCAGAGGACCCCAGCGAGCCCGAAAAGGAGCACCACAACCCAGCGAGCCCACGCCAAGGGGGCCTCGAGCTCACTGTTTCACAACTCGCAAACGAGGCAGCGACAGCCTGCCAGCACGTTCTTTGATTTGAACACGGCAACCGTGGTCTCGAGACCCTCGAATTGCACACTCGAGCAGCACAGGGGCAGTCGGCAAGCTCCCATAGCCCATGCGCATGCTTCGGCGAGTGTGTGAAGCAAGGACAGGGCATGGAGGGCACGAGCCTTCAGAAGCGGAGAAGCTTCCTGAACAAAGAAGTGGAGACTGACTTATACTTCTGCAGCTGAGCGGGAGTCAGCTTGCCAATCTGTCGCATCAGACGGCCTTGCTTCATAGATCGAAGGACGCCCCCTCTGGCCACCCAGCGCCCGCCCGACTGGATCTGGTCTTCAGGGCGGAGGCCGCGCGCAGCATCAGTGGATGGCCCACCACGGCGCGCCACGCGCGGCGCGAGGCGGAGGGCGCCAAGGCTGCAGGCTTCGAAGGCAGCCTTGCAGCGGCGCTCGTACTCCGCCAAGGTCAGGCCGAACACGGGCGCTCAGCTGCCTCGCTTTGCGGCTTCGAGTTTGCCGAGAAGGCCAGCCACCTGATCGCGGCCGGCCTTCTTGGAGGCAGCATCCCCGAAGACCACAGCGTCGTCCTGCTCCCCGGCCTTGGTTGTGGGCCGCCGCGAAGCCCCACCATCGTCGCCCTCCCAGGACTGTGATATCATGATAGTGGCAAGGGGGTAGCCGCGCCACGTAGGCACGAAGGAGCCACCTTGATACCGTTCGCGGTGATCTTGCACACTTCGCCTGGTCGCAAGTACCCGTCGAACTGGGTCATCAGGGCCTGGGCCGCACTGAAGTCGGCCTTGCATGTCGCCGGTGTCGCAGAGCCAGTCGCAAGCGAGAAACGGAGCTTGCTGTGGCATGAGGCCTCGCGAAACGTCTCCCATGCGCTTCTGCCAGCCGCGCAGCGCGGCGCGGGCGAGCTGCAGCACGGTCGGGCCCTCCAGGTCGCTGCGCCGCACGCACGCGGCCCCGCACACGGTGACCCGAGCATCGCAGATGCCCCTGCCGTCGAACCACAAGTGATCCAGGTAGACCTCCAGGCTGGCGTCGACCGCGGCCCCTGCCAGGATGCTGAGACCGCGCTCGCTTGCGAAGCCCTTGAACTTCTCGCAGGCGTCCTGATAGCGAGTCTGGGTCGTCGGCGGCGCCGATTGTGCTCGTTGGCATCTTGCGGGTCGCGGGCCGTCTCCGACCGCCCGTCGCCGCAGCTTGGCGATGGTGGGCCGCGGCAGACGTCCGCGCCAGCCCCCCAGACCTGGGGGGGTCCACGGCCCCCAGCCTGCGCCCCACTGCCCGGCGTCGGCCGCCCGCTCTGGCGGCGAGCCAGACGGGCGCGAGAAGTTGGCGGCCCTGAGCGGCTGCTGGAGGTCGCGCTGGCAGGCGCGCGCCAGCTCCACTTCCCAGCGACTGGACAGCGCACCACGGCCATGCTGAGCGGAAGCCCCGCGAGGAGCCACCGAAGCAAGGATCAGAGCCCAGTGGCGACAGAGTGACGGGGGATACTTTCCCAGCCAGCGTGGTCTTCCATACTGCGGCCCCTGGGGCATGCGATGCGATGCTTGATGAAGACGCTGAGCACGATGGGATGACGACTTTACCTTGAAGATGTTCATGGTGATGGCCAACCTCGCAGCGACGTGACAGCAGCAACAAATCGTCGATGTCGGCAACGATAATAATTTGTTTGAAAGTACATCCAAACGCACAGCAATCATAGCGAACAGTGGCATGATGCTGTTGGGAAAGAAACTGTTGTAAAGGCCCCCGCGTCCAGATCCGAGAGCAGGCGGGGTTCTCGAGCGACCAACGTACATTATAGCGAAAACAAAGGCGCAGAAGAGTAACTGTCCGGGTAGCGCATAGCTGACCAGTTCGTGAGTGCTTTCCCCGATCAGTGCCAGTAGCCTGACTCCAGAATGTACAAGGAGCACCGAAATGAACGTACCAAATCTTCCTGCTGGCAATCCATCTTTTCAACACGGCGAAGACACGGCCATCCAAGACGCCCACGTGAGGCCCTCGGTCGCTGTCAACCGGGGCGGCGATATACAACCCCGGCCGCAGCCAGCGAACACCTCTAGCATGGCCCGCTGCGATGCTGGGTGAGGCGGAGGAGGAGCAGGGCTGGGATTTGGACTGGAGGCCTTCATGCGATTCGGAAACAGGAGGGCGTAACGGCTCATGTCTCGCGGCGGCCAGCCGCGGGCTGCGCGCCCAACGCGCGCCAGCCTCATATAGCACCGCTGGCGGGTCAGGCTGGAAGTTCGCCCCTGGGGCGGCGCCAAGCTGCGCCTGCGCTGCCGCGGGCGCCCGAGCTCAGCTGCCTCGGGGACGCAGGCGAGCGTCGCTGCTGAAGAGGCTGATGGAGGAGCGACCAGCACCTGGTTGCCCGATGTCGCGGGCATGCCTTCGTCGAACAGCGCCAGGCCGAAGCAAGACAGCGTCGGCCAGGCGGCTGCCGCGCCTGTAGGGTTGCGGGCCGACTCTGCATAACGCTGCCGCCAGGAGATCTCGCCCGCGAGCTGGTACGAGGCTGCGACGCGGAAGCTCCGCCTCATGGCCCAGGACTTGGCACGGCCCTTCTCAAAGCTGAGCACGGCCCCCATGTTGCCCCCAATCGACAAAACTTTCCTGCCGTAGAAGGCAGGGCCACGGCCGGCGAAGCGCAGCCCGAGAAGCTGGACGCCAGACCCCTGCTCATGGATGGCGGCGTCGGACTGCCAAGCACCGCAGACGACCCCGCGCCACCTGTCGGCGGCGAGGAGCTCATCCTCCAGCAGGGGGATGACGCCGGGCCTGCGGTCTAGGCAGACCCGGACAGCCGACGGCCTCCAGGGCGCGACGCTCCCGTCGCGCTCAAGCGGCGGGGCCTCGCCCAAGTCGTCTGCGAAACGGCGCGCCGCCGGGGGCCAGTCGGCGGAGGTCATGGGGACCTCAGAGTCATCGCGATGTCCGTGGCTGAAGTCGACCTCGCTGAACCCCCAGCGCCCCTTGTAGCGGGCGGCGCGGACGACCTCGTCGGGCTCGACGGCCGCGAGGTGCAGCGCGTAGCCCAGCATGGGGGAGTCCGACGCGAAGGCCACCCGGCTCCACGGCGCGCCGAGGTCGGCCTGACATAAGAAGACGAGCCC